TTGTTTAATTAATTTTATTGGTACATTTTAGATACACATAATGACCATATTTATTATAGAAAATTTGTATCTGTTCATAATATATCTTAATTCTTCTTTTTTCCCTAATCCCCTCCCCTCCCTTCAATGCTTTTTCCTCTCCTTATTTATGAAAACTTTGTATCCATTTTTTCTATTTGCTTTTTTTCTTTTTCCTTCCTTCCTTTCCTTGTCACCCTTCCTTGTTCCCCTTACCTTTTGAACATTTTCTTCCAATTTCCCAATATTTGTTATACACTTTGGCCCTTATTTACCCTTTCAGTTTCTCATACCAGAAAAACAATGAGAAATTTAAACATGTGAATCTGATTTATTTCACTTAAGAGTATGGTCTCAAGGTGCATCCATCTACCTAGAAATGTCTCAATGTCTGCCTTCTTTGTGGCAGAGTAATACTCCATTGTAAAAAAAACATATCTTTTCTATTCATCCATTGATGGTCATTTGCACTTTTGTTAAGATTTAGCTACTATAAATTATGCTGCTATAAACATGAGTGTGCATATATCATTGTTGTATGATGCTTTTAATTCTTTTGGGAAGATACCAAGAAGGGGAATAGCTGGGTCAAATGGAACCTCTAGTTTTACTTTTTTGAGGAATCTTTATACTGATTTCCACAGTGGTTGCACCAGTCTGCACTCCCACCAACAATGGAGAAGGGTTCCCTTTCCCCTACAGCCTTGCCAGCATCTGTTATTGGTTGATTTCTTAATGACAGCCACTCTTTCTGGAGTGAGATGAAATCTCAGTGTTTTCATTTACATCTCTCCAATGATCAGTGATGTTTAACATTTTTTCATATATTTATTTGTCTTTTGTACTTTTTCATCTGAGAAGTATCTATTCATTTCAGATGCCCATTTTTTAACTAGGTCTTTAAATTTGAGAGGTCTGATTTTTTTCTTGAGTTCTTTATATGTTCTAAATATTAGTCCTTTGTCTGAGGAACAGCTGGCAAAAATTTTTCCCACTCTATCTCTTCACTCTTTTGGTAGTTTCTTTCGCTGTGGAAAAGCTTTTCAATAAGATGAAATCCCAGTTGTTGATTCTTTGTAATATTTCCTGTGTGATCAGGGTTTTGTTCATAAAGTCTTTGCCTACACCTATGTCTTCAAGAGTTCCACTTATTTTATATTCCAGTAGATTTCATGTTTCTGTTTTAATATTTAGATCTTTGATTCATTTTGATTTTATTTTAGTGCATGGTGAGAGATATGGGTCTAGGATTAATCTTTGGTACGTAGGAAGCCAGTTTTCCCAGCACCAGTTATTAAAGAGGATATCTTTCTTCTAGTGAGGTTGTTTGGCCCCTTTGTCAAAGATAAGGTGGCTGAGTGTGTTTGGAGTTGTTTCTGCATCTTTTTTTTTTTTTTTGGACTTAACAGAGGGTAGTTTTATTGTCTCAGATCCAGACCTGAGGGAAAATTACCTTCTCCGTGCCCCAAGGACACACATATTCTATCTTTCCCATGGGCCACAGCTCTGGGAAAGGAAGGTCTTACTGCCCCAGGGTTCCCAGGTTAGTGAAGGGGGGGCATGAAGGTGACCACATGAGTGGCTGTAAACAGGGCTGATGGGGCCTCATTGGTCTGTGGGCGTCTTGGTCTATTCTTGGTCAGGGGAGGAGGGCCCAGCTCTTTTTCAGACCTAAAAGCAGTCCCAGATATGGGTGGGGGTCAGGGAAGCTGCACAGCCCCTAGGACAATGTGCTACCCACCCAAGGGTAGGCAGGTGAGCCATGGGCTTCATCACAGCACGCACAGACATACACAGTACACTTGGGAGCACTGGGTCAGGATGCTAGAAGATGGGGATGTAGTTGTCAATCTTGGCGAGATGGCACTGGGCAATGCACTCAGCAATCCACACAGTATCACGACACTCCTGCTCCTTGAGCTTCATAAAGGCATAGAAGACTCCAAAGGCATGGAACTGGTTCAGGAAGGCCAACTTGTTCAGTTTCACCTCATGCTCAAAGAATCGGTTCTCCAGGGTCTTGTCTCCAGAATTGTTGCCTGCACCCTCAAAAAGCAGCTTGTATTCTAGGTAGTAATCAGCCACACTCAACCTGCTCGTGGTCATCAGCACAAGCCAGCTGAGCCAGGCCCTCAGGGTAGAGGCACCCACAGCGTGGGAAGAGCTTGGCATGGTCCTCCTTGGACAGCTCTGTGCCAAAAGAGGTGATGGTGATGATGAAGGAGCGGCGGTCTGCTTCAAACTCCAGGATGGGGCACATGGCATCAGCTGTGGTCCCGCCCAGTGAGGCAGAACTTGTAGAAGGACTCCGTGTTGGCCTTGTAGAGTGTGTTGCAGATGATCTCAATGTTCACCTCATCAATGTCCTGTTCTGAGATGCAATCCTGGAAAAAAAGTCGCCAGGGATGTGTCCACCAGAATGGCAATGTAGAGCTCAGCAGGTGTCTGTGTGATGTTCATGGCTTCCATCTATTCGAGGCTGCCTAGTGGGTGGCACTTGGGTACGAGCTCAGCAATGGAGCACTGGTGCAGCACGCCCATGATGAGTAGGATCACATTGTCAATCATGTAGCTGTGAGTAATAAAGTCCAGGAAGCTGGCGAGTGGCTCATAGGCATGGTTCCTCATGTGGTGGAGCTCCACCACCATCTTTGCCTTGAGCCAGCCATCAGTGACTGACACTGTCAGAGGTGAGTCCTCATTGGCTGGAAATAGCCATAGTCTGTGCCCTGCAGGTGCAACTTCAAGTCCTCTAGCATCTTGCACTGCACCAGGTTGAGGTGGTTGGCCTGGCTGAGGACCCCAGCCTTCAGGGCATGCACAAGTCCCTCCAAGTAGCCATTGTCTAGGTTGACATATAGCTCCAGGAAGAACAACATGGCTGCAGCAGGGGCAGCAGAACTGGAGAGCACTGACCAGCTGCCATGCAACATAACTCCAAAATTAGCTCTGTTTCTGCATCTTTAATCTGTTCTCTTGATCCTCAGGTCTGGTTTTTTTGTAGTTTGGAGGTTTTTTTCTTGGTGGGAGGGTGTTTGCCAATACCATGCTGTTTTTATCATGGTGGCTTTGTAGCATAATTTCAAGTCCGGGATTGTTAATGCCTTTGTTGCCCAGAATTGTTTTTTCTATTCTGGGTCTCTTCTGGTTCCAAATGAATTTTAGAATCGTTTTCTCTAATTCTGTGAGGTATTCTGTGAGGCATTTTGATCAGGGTTGCCTTAAACCTGCTTACTACTCTGCCATCTTCCCAGATCTGTGTTGGTTTTGATCAATTGATTTTTCTCTTCACTGTGGATCATGTTGTCTTCCTTCTTTGTGTGCCTGGTAAATTTTGATTGGATGCCAGACATTGTGAATTTTACTTTGTTAGGTACTGGGTATTCCTGTATGCTTGAGCTTTGTTCTGGAGTGTGAATTTGGGGGGGGTGGGGGCGGGTGGTACCAGGTATCGAACTCGGAACCTTGTGCTTTCGAGCCAGGTGCAGCACCACTGAACTAAATCCCCAGCCCTGGGGTGTGAATTATTAAAAACAGTTTGGTCTGTTTGAGTCTTGCTTTTAGAGCTTTGGTAGAGAAGGCCTCTGCATCCTTGTTTGGGTCTGATTCTCTCCATTACTGAGCTAACACTATGCGAAGTATTCTGCCTAATTCCCTATGCACTGTGGCTAATGGCAATGGAGCTCTTTCCAATCCTGTGTGAGCTCTGAGGGTTGTTCCCTCTACTCCTTGTGGGCGGCTCTTTTGAATGTGCACTGAATGCAGATGAAGATGGGCCTGCTCTGCCTATCTCTACCCTTCCCTCCCTGTGCAAGTCCCTCCTCTGCCTTCTCCCTACAAACCGTACCCACTTTGGTCTCCCCAAACTGCCACCTCCAGTACCTCAAGTTGAGGAGGCTACAGGCCGTCAAGTTCCTCCCACCCTGCACCAGAAACTGGAAACAGTCCTGGCAGCTGGCTGTGACAATCCAAGCTGGCCTTGTTGGTTTCCCATCTCTCGGGGGGCCACTATTCCTTGCTGCTGCTGGGTGATGTCTGATAGCTGTGATTGTGTGTATTTTTTCCTATTTTCAATTTACTTGAGGCAGAAGGTGAACCTGGATCTGGCTGCCCCACTTAGCTGGAAGCATCAGTGTCTTCCCCGTCACCTTCAGGGCCTTGGGTTTCCCTGTGCATGGTGGGGGTGGGGGGAAGCCTGGACAGATTCTGAGTGAGGTGGCCTGACTCGCTTACGTGGTGGAAGAGATGAAGGAACAAAACTTGAAGAGATGAACTGCAGTCTAAAATGCACTTCACCTGTTCAGTTTGTTGACTGTTGCTACCCTATGATCTCATAGGCCTAGGCCAGGCTTCACTTGAGGGAGGTGCCAGAAATGAGAACTGAGTGAACAAGCAGAAGCCTTGGGGGCCCCACTGAAGAGTGGGGGGCAGGGTTGCAGCTCCCCCAAAAGCAAGGATGCCTTCTCTTTGTGACTAGTCAGTCTGTGGAAACCATTCCCCTTGTTTGCAGAACAGGAGGACCAGAGAAAAGGCAGACACCAGCTTGACAGGTCCCCAGATCCTCCACCTGCTCCTGTAGCTTTCCCTACCTCAGAGATCCCTCCAATGACCCCTGGACACCCAGGGAAGTCCTCTGTGTGGTCTCAGAGAGACTGGCTCCTCCAAATCAGTGTGAGAAGTAGAGCAGAGAACATAGCAGCCTGAGCCCTCCTGCATCCCACCAGTGCATCTGTGCCTGTTTCTGCAGGGCAGCCAGGCACTGGCATGTCCTTGGGGCATGCTGTCGACTCAACAGTGTCCTAAGACCTCATCCTCTGCCCTCCTTCCAGACCATCAAAGGAATAACGGATAGACACAGGGAAGGACACTATGAGACTGACCTCCGCCATCACCCCCTCCACTGGCACCTTGAATAAATGCAACCATCCTCAGACACTCACACCACGACCCTTCTCCATTTCAGGATCTCCTCTTCTGTCTCCACATCCATGTTGGAGCCATCACACATGAAGGCCCCTCAGGATTCTGCCTGCAGGAACCGACAGGCCCACCCCTCCAGCATCCTTCCCCACAAGTCTATGAGTCTATGAGCAGCCAGACTGCACTAATGTTCAAGGACCACAAGATGTTCATGGAGAAAGCCTACAATTCAGGTGACTGCCAGCCCTGGGGCTCAGCCACGAAAGGGCAAGGGATCTAGATCCCACCACATCCCTCCACAGGAAAAAGGCCCAAGAGTGAGGGACCTTGGAGGACTTTGGAGATGGCAAGCGTGTGGTAAACAAATGTAGCTTTCAGCAGAGAGCCCTGCAGAGCCCCCCTGGGATTGTTCATGCCTCCTGAAACACCATCCAAAGCCCAAAGTGTGGCCATCTCCCACTCCCTTCCACTCTTCTTCTATACCTCAGAACCTCTGCTGAGGCCTGGCCCCTCCTTGGAATGCTTTCCCCTTCGTTCAAACACCAAGGTGCTGGCTGACAGGAGGCAGAGTGGAAGGATCAAAGAATGGATCAATAGAGGGAGAGATGGATGGATGAATTTATGAATGGATTGGTGGGTGGATTTATGAATAAGTGGGTGGGTGGATTTATGAGTGCCTAGGTCAGTGATAGCAAATCTTTTAGAGCTTTCAATGATACAAACAGCCCACTGCAGCATATGTACCACAGGTTCACCATCACTGGCCTACATGGATGAATATGTAGATGAATGCAAAAAATGGACAAACAGGTGGATAAACAGAAAGATAGACAAACATATATGAATGAATGTGTGGGAGAAGGGACAGATGGGTAGATGATAGATGGATGGTGGATAAATAGATGGATAAAAAGGTAAGTGGTTCACTGAATGGATGGAAATATGAGTGGGTCAATAAGGATATGCAGACCTGTATGCATCCCTGCTCTTTATCCTATTTTGAACCCAGTCAGGGTCATTTGGATAGTGAAGAAGTCCAGGACTTCCCACTGTATCCAATTCTCCAGTCCTCATTTTCAGCTTACTCCTTGCCATTCCCAGACCTGTTCTTTCCTACCCATCCAGCCATTCTGCTACAATGTGATGGCCCCTATAGCCCACCCACTCTCATACCTTCTTGCCACCTTCAGCCACCTGCTTCAAGATGCTCCGGGACATAGGCAGCTCAGAACTTCCCTACCTGCAGTTTGTCATCAAGAGGGTCAGGAATATGGCTCAGAGGTCCCCCAACTTGGTGATGGAAACCATCTATGACTACTTCACAGACAACCCACAGGTGGGAGCTGACTGGGGCTTGGGGAGCAGAAGGGAGGGCTTGACCCCAAGCTGGGCTCATCCTGGATCCTACATAGAGCAGCTACATGATTGGGAGCAACTCTCTATTTCCTCATATTCCAAATGAGCCAGAGAGGGAGGGAGGAAAGCAGACCAGTATGTGTCGACCACACTCAGAACAGGCTCAGGAGGTAGATATTATGATGCTCATAGATGGGGAACCTAAGGCTTAGGAAAGGAAAAATTTACCTAATGTCAAAGAGCCAGTAAGTGGTAGGGATGGATGCATGGATGGATGGAGAGATGGACATGGTGGGGGAGAACATCTGCCTAAGTGTTAAAAAAATGAATAAATGAATGAATGATCTGACTTTGAAGATGGAATTTTTTAAACTGCTACAGCAGTTCCATGAGGATAGGGAGAAACTTTTCCCCCTCATGATCTCTGCTGCACTGGTTTAGGTCTCTTTAGCACTGTGCAGAGCAATATTTATTAAGGGTCATTGACTGAATGGTCAAAAGCAGCTGCCTGTGATCTTTCCCTCTGGCCCCTCACACAGCCTCCCACCCATGCTCCCACAGACATGTGCTGCATGATGAACCCAACATCCCAGTGTTCCTTCTGCCATCCACAGATCTCCATCCGGCACAAGTTCCGGCTCTTCCAGGTCCTGGAGAATGTCATCAAAGCCAGTGACTGCCTGGAGGAGCCCTGGAGGAGAAGCTTTATGCAGCTGGCCCTGGATAACATGACCCAATCCACGGTGCATCCCCACCCCATCCCTGCAAGACAGCCAGTCCCCAGGCCCTTGGGTTTGCAGGCAGCTTCCCAGGACTCCAAATGGTGAGAGTGTGCCAGGCCTTGTGGTCTGCCAGGCATTCTCTCTCTTTCTAACATCCTGGCCGCCGGCTCCTTCAGAGGGACAGTTTCGTGCACTCCCCAGAAGAGGCAGCTGAGACCCAAGAAGCAATGCTGGTCTGAGGCCACAGGGCCCCTTAGTGGAGGCAGAAATCCAGCTGCAGCTCCTCCTCCTGCAGGAGGCCCTTCCTGAAGTGGGCCCAGGTGCCCCTGCCCACACTGTCCTTACCATCCCTTTGCTGCTACCTACAGGCCAGCTCTGGAAAGACACCAGCCAATCTAACCCAATCCCCCAGGCCATAATCCAGCCTTGGGTTCCCCAGCTTGGCCACGAACTGCCCCCCACACCCCTACCCCTACCCCTATCCAGACCCATAATCAGGTTGCTCGCCGTCCGCAGGCTGGCTGGCAAGCTCTGTGACTTCCCCTGGGGGAGTGAGGACAGGAGGTTTCATTCAGACCTACTAGCCCTGACAGCCCCATGGTGGCCAACTCAGGAGACACAGGATGACCAGAGAGCGGTGACGGTTACCTTGGCCCGCCACAACCCAAGCCTTGGCACCAAAGAAGCATCATGAGGCTCATTTCACCGTCTGTGTTTTGTGGGTGACATGGAAAGCTAATGCCATGGAATAAGGTTTTTAGCACCACCCCTCACCCAGAAATGAGCAACAGAGCGTGCCATGCAGGGCCATGAGGAGCCTGCAGGGTGGGGACAGACAGAGGAACCACAAGGGATTGTGCCTCTAAGACTGCAGCTATGGGAAGTAATAAGTGGGAATGAGCCTGGGCCACTTAGGGGACCCAGGCCAGTCAGGGTCCATGGTTGGGGAATTACAATTATGACAGACTATTTGCACACTTGCCAAGGTATAAACCATGTTGATGTTTCATCTCCTCTGTGTACATCAGACTGAGGAGAGGTTGTTCAGAATAACATGTCAAATGGCCAGTTCAGAGTCTAAAGGCATGTACAAGACTCCCTCCTTCTTAAGAGGCACCTATAGCTGTTCCTTCATTGACATATCAGTTTAATACAATGATTCAAAGCACATCGCAGGGAGAGTAAGGTGGGGGACCTTAGACACCTTTACATTCAGACGTCACTAAATGCAGGCAGCCCTGCTGCGCCCCTCTGAGCTAACAGCCACCACAGGATGGAAAGGAGCAGTACTCTGCATCTGAGCCAGAGCGAAATAGCAGTGTACCTGCTGAGAAAGGGCAGGGCACAATGGCATAGGGCCAGCACCAGGCCCATGGGCCCCCTTCCTGACAGAGGATGACCCTTGGAAGACAGAACCTGACCAGGACCCAGAAAAGCCTAGGGAACCAAGCTCTGCCATACAGCAGCTAGCATACTGACTCACCAGGCAGAGAGATCTAGGACAAGAACAGCCTCTGGTCCTAAATGCATGATGACAAAGATGAAAGGATGAGATGTTGTCCTGAGCTGCCAGGAGCCAGGAAGGGGAGAGGTGGTGTCAGATAGGGGTTTTCAAACAGGTGTCTTGAGGACCAGACAGTGGGCCTTAGAAATGGACCAAGATCTGGATAGACAGGTCAGCAGGAATAGAGCCCCAGGCAGGGACACAGCATGCCAAAGGCTTCAAGGCAGAAAGGAACCATAAGGGACTGTGCCTCTAAGACTAAGGCATGGAAAGTAATAAAGTGGGAATGTTCCTTAGGCCACTGAGAGGACACAGGCCAGTCAGTTTCAGCATGTCCTGAAACTGCTGGAGAACCAGGAATGTGGAGAGCCCTGAACACACGGGGCCCTCAGCCTCTGTTTTCCATCTAAATAAATGGGTTGATCACAGTTCCCTGGCCTGACAAAGCAGATACACATCTGTCCAGATGCTCAGCTCAAAAAAAGCCTGCTCTTATTTCTGGACACCTGCCCCCACCCCAGGAGCTGGAAGACACATACCAGGATGCAGCCAGCAACGTGCTGGTGGCGATCTGCAGGCACTCATGGCAGACAGTAGCCCAGCACCTGGAGACGGAGCTCCTAACGGGTACCTTCCCACACCAAAGCCTCTTCTACGTAATGGGCACACTGCCCTCCCACGGTAGGACCTGCCCACGGAACACGGGGGAGGTCAAGGAAGATCTAGGTGGGGTCCCAGGCCCACAGAGCCCCAGGGTCCACAGCAGTGATGTCACTGCATGCGGGTAGCCAGGAAGTCCCTGTTAGAGGGTAACAGCAGCTACTGCGCTCCCACCAGCCTGGCTAATGCAACTGCTCTCAGTAACCAGAACAGATTCCAGAGAAGGCAGGGACCGACTGCCCTAGAGATCATCAGAGAGGGCTTCCAGGATGAGCCAGTCTGGAGCAATTGGGGGCGGGGGGCGTGGCAATGTCCTCTGCAGAGCAGGTTGGCAGCCAGCAGGGTCAGGAGGAGGAGGCAGGGAAGGTCTGCACTCTAAGGCCTGAGACCGGCAGGACCTGGCTTGGCTTGGCCTTGCGCCCCTGCCCTGGAATTGACAGATTGGGTGAAGGGTTCTCTGCACCCAAGGGGCCCCAAAGCAGCCCCTCCCTCTAAGGTGGGATTCCCAAATACCTGAAGGTGTTCTGGACTCTCAGAGCACCCTTCCTGTACTGTCACTCCTCACACTTGCCTGGGAGGGGCCCAAGGCACAGAGAAGGAACAGCCTGCCTGAGGTCACACAGCAAGCCGGCAAGGCCACCATTCTGGCCCAGGTGTCTGGGTCCTTAGCCCAATCCCAGCCTATGTTCTCCTGCTAACCAGGCCAGGCTGAGGCAGAACAGAGTCACCGTGACTCAGGCAGTGTCTGAGGGATGGGGAGAAGGGGCATGGGGTCCACCCCTGGCTATGGGCATCAGAGCAGACCCTATAACCAATCCTCCTCCTGCAGAGGAGCTTCTCAACAAGGAAGACAGGGCGCAGTGGGAAGAACTGCTGGCCCAGGTAAGGATACAAGTGGGAGGGGCAGCAACCAACATGGGGATACCTGCTGCAGTCTGGAGGTGGAGGGAAGAGAGGAAAAAGAGGGAGGGGAAGAAGGGAGCTGGGTGCCCGGGAGTATCCCCACTTTCCAGAGGAGCCAGCAGCATTCAGGAGAGGAAGTGACCTGGTCACAGGAGGAGTTGGAATTCAGGCCTTGATCTCTAGATGCCTGACTCAGAGCAAGTGGCCAACACACACCACCCCTCCCACCCATCCTGGAGAGGATGCAGGGCCAGAGCTGAAGCCAGTGACAGGAGGAAGCAGGTCAAGGATGCCACAGCCAAGAAGCAGGGTCCCATCTCTGACACACCTGGGGATGAGGGGCTGATGTGGCTGGGAGAAGGGTCATGGAGTCCTGGCAGACCTGGGTTCACATCCTGGGTCAGCCAACCACAGCGTGTGCCTGGGGTGACCTCCTTTACCTCTCTGTGGCTCCATTTCCTCATCTGTCGAATGGAGATAAAAGTCCCTTGCTCAAATGGCTGTGAAGACAGTAGGCACTGATCACCGAAAAGGGTCTACACAGAGAGACACAGGAAGCCCTCGGGGAAGGGAAGTCACATCGTAGTAGTGGAGCAGCAGCAGTGTTGAGAGCAGTAGAATAGCAGGAACTGAGGACAAGAGACCTGAGCAGCACAATTAATCAAATTGATCTCATTGGCATTCCTTTCCATGCAATAGGACATTGCCAGGGCAGACAACACGCTCGGCCTTCAAATTCCAATAAATGTAAAAGGACTGAAATCAGAGTACATTCTCTGACAAAAACGTAAGTTAGAGGTCAATATTAAAATCTATCTGGAAAATGTTCAAATTCCTAGAAATTAAACAACATACTGCTAAATAACCCATGGGTCAAAGAAGAAATCACAAGGAAAATTGGGAAATATTCTGAATTGAATGTAGCGAAAAATACAACAAATGAACATTTGGGAGTTACAAGAGGAAGCAATGCTTAGAATGAAATTTATATGCCCATAGCAGAGAAGGAGAAAAGTAAAAAATCAGTTGTTTAAACCTTCATTTTAAAAAGCTACCTAAAGAAAGCAAATTCAACCCAAAGTAAGTAGAAAGAAGGAAATAGCAAGAACTAGATCAGAAATCAAAGAACTAAAAAAAAGGACCAGATAATAAAGAATGACTCAAACCAAAAATAAATTCATCAAAAGATCAATAAGTTGATTAACCTCTCACTAGACTGATCAAAAGAAAAATACAAAATACCAATTTCAGAAAGGAATAAAGAGCACCATTACAAATCCTATAGGCAGTAAAAGATAATAATGAAAGACGATTTCAATAAATTGGACAAATTAGATGGAATAGACAAATTCCCTGAAAAGCACAAATTACCAAACTGACAGGAGAAAAACAGAAAATCTGAGTAGTCCTGTATCTACTAAAGAAATTGGAATAGTGATGAAAACCTTTCTGCTATTGAACCTTTTCACCATGCAGTGTGCCGAACCCTGAAATGATAAGTTTCACAAGAGAAAGACAGCCCTGTATAGAGATGGAGTCTAAGTCTGAATCTCCCCTCCCCAGGGACAGGGCTGAGGATGTGTATGGGCTGTGTCTGGGGAAAGGTGATGTATCGGACCACCATGTCACAGGTGTCATCTGGAGTAGGCATGATTATAAGCAGGTGAAAACCAGCGGGTTTATTCAGGAACCAAGAGCAGGTGGCATATCCAGGATTTCCCTAGCTTCATTCCCATCAAGGAAACTCCCAGCTGAGGCACTTCACTGATGAATTCTATCAAATAGCTAAGAAAGAAAGAATGCCACCTCTGCAAAAATCTGTCAAGAAAACAGGAGGAAGGGACACTTTTCAAGTCATTTTATAAGGCCAGCACAACCCTGTACCAAAACCAAGGACTTTACCAGAGAACCACAGATCTGCAGCTTTCATGAAGATAGATTCAAAAACCTTTAGCAAAATATTAGCAGTTGAGCAAAAGGATAATATACCATGAGCAAGCAGGGCTTATAAAGGGGCACATAGCCAGTTTAATGCTTGAAAAATAATAAATGTAGTTCAACACATTAACATAATAAAGTAGAAAATTATGAATACATTTATAAGAACAATGAAGAAAAGACATTTGGCAAAATCTATAATACTTAGCTGGGAACAGTGGCAAACATCTGTAATCCCAGCTACTCAGGAGGCTGAGGCAGGAGGATCACAAGTTCATAGCAAGCCTGGGTAACTTAGCAATAACTAAAAAAATTTTTTTTAAGATTTTTAAAATTTCAAAACTTATGTTAAAAATCTAACAAGCTAGAGTAGAAAAAAAGCTGACCCAACCTGACAAGCACAGCTAAGCCTGCAGCTAACATGCTTCCTGATGAAAGATTGAATGTTTTCCCACTAAGATCAGGAATAAGGCAGAGACATCTGCTCTCTCTACTTCCTGTCAGCCTTCCACAGCCAGTTCAATAAGGGAAGAAAAAGAAGAAAAGGCATTAAGATACAGCTTAAAAAGTGAAAATCTCTTTGCAGACAGAATGCCTACATACAAAGAAAATATTACAGTCTTAAAAATACTAGAATGGATAATTACTAACAGTGAAATTTGGCAAGATCTTAGGACATGAGATAAATATTTTTAAAATTAATTGAATTTCTATTTACAAACAATTGGAAAATAGCTTTTTTAATGACTCAGTATCACAAAAAATCTAACAGTCTCAAGGAAAGATAAACGCCACAAAATATAAGCAAGGTCTTGCCAAAGTACTGCAAAGAGCAATTTATAAGTGCAGATATGTGACGTTCCTAAATAAGAAAATTCAAAAATGTTAAGATGTCAAATCTCACAAAATTGACTTACAAATTGAATACAGTGCCAACCAAAATCCTACAAGACTTTATTGTAGAATTTAGCCTATAGACTGAATTTTATGTGAAAATTTCAAAAGACCTAGAATAGCCAAAATATCTTGAGAAGAAACAAAGTTACAAGAACTGCACTACTTTGATTTCAAGACTCAGTGAAAGACCAAGTAAAATAACGTAATAACAGACTGTTAACTACAAGGAACAGTAAGAAGGAAGATGAGGCACTGGTATAATCTCACTTTCCTCATTGCTGAAACACAATACCCAACACCCACAAATTAAAGGAGAAGGGGTTTACTTTGGTACATGCTTTCAGTCCATAGTCACGTGGCTCCAAGGCAGGAGGGCATGGTTAAAGGGTCTGGGGGAGGAAAGCTGCTCAGATCATGGCAGTCAGGAAGCAGGAAGAGAAGGGAAGAACAGGGGAGGGAGAGCCAGCTTCTGAGCTCACACCTCCAGTGACTCACCTCTTCCAGCCAGACCCCTCACAGCAAGTCAGCAATATCACCCCATGCTTCAGTCACCTTCCAAAAGCCCCACCTCTGAGTGCGTGAGGCCTCTGGGGCACATTCTTTGTCTAAACTGTAACGTATAGGATAGGTTAAACAAATAAATCAATGGACGAGAATAGGAACTCCAGGATGCAACTACACTTACACATCCTAATGATTTTTAAAGGTGCCAAAGCAATGCAATGGGGAAAGGAAAGTCACCTTGGCAATGGGTGACAGAAAAAAAAAAAACTGCCCTTTCTTTCAAATTTTATTTTACATCAGTTTTGCTCAACAACCTTATTTAAATGTTTACCTTCACATTTATCAATCTTTTAAGATTTTGGGGTTTTGGTTCATACGTAGGAGGGGAATCTCCCATACCACCTTCTTGGGAACAAAAATCTGACACTTATTGAATCACACAATCTAGGAAGATTGGAAATGCAGAGGCCTTGTAGTCATTACAAAATCATGTGATGTTAGGATCAGAGCACTCAGAATCCCGTTTTTTGAAAGGTTGTTTCATTCATTCATCTGCTGCCTCTTCATTGATTAAGAAGCACTAATACAGCATCTGCCAAGTGCTGGGCATGATGCAGGTGCTGGAGGTACAAGTGCAAAGAAAGACCAAGTCCCACGTCCTAGCGTGCACCCTGCGGAGGGGCTGCCTTCAGCTAACACGGCATCTGCCTTGTCTGAGACCACATTGTGTACTGGGAACACAACCAGGACTCCATTCTGTAGTCCCCAGGCACTGATTTTCCTGCCTCACCTGAACACATCTGGGGTGCCCTTGAGGAATATGTTCCTTGGCCCTGAAGGACATCAAACAAATTAGAGAATTGAGTCCTGGAGACCCAGAGGAGAGGATGAGAGGGTGATGGAGTCAGGGCCTGGGGTGTATGGGAGCAGGCTGGTGGGGGGAGGAGGGAGAGATGGCTCCAGGCCTGCCCACCCTCATCTGCTAACAGGTAATTGTCAAGTCAGTCAAGTTCCTGGACATGGACCTGTGGTCCAAGGAGCTGCTGGAGGCCCTCACCAAGCCCAGCCAGACCCAGCAGGAGCATCCCCCAGAGAAGATGGGCCTGGGTAGCTCCTGCTCAACATGGAGACCCAGGGCTCTACCCACAGGATGCTCCGGGCCCTAGAGAGAAGTTGGTGGGTCTGACAGGAACAGGGGCTGGGCCAATACCACCAGGCAGGGTGGAGAGGGTAGCTGCAGGCCTGGGAGCTTGAGGGAGCATGGTCAGGGAAGCTGCTTGGAAGAGGTGGTGGGAGGTGAGGACTCAGTTCTTCTTGGTTCCCACAATTGCCTGGCCTTGACCAGAGGCTTAGCTGTCACAGTCTGAGCCCTGACCCAGTCCTGGATTAAGCCCTGATCTCACCTACAAGCTGGGTCCTTTTCCTCCCTTCCCATACCTCCCTTCAATCCTACCCTGTCACATGTCTGCTCAGAGCTTGCACAAGGATAACCAGCTTCCAGAACTCCCACTCTGCCTCCTCCCTCCCCCCATTCTACCCATCAGACCCCATACAAGACAGCCCCATTGGGCTAGGCACAGAGCTGCATGTCCTAAAGAGCTTATGGGTGGCAGGTGGATGCCCTGTGATCTTGGATGAGGCCCCTACCCCTTCTGATGGACCCAGTGAGGGGCCACATCCAACAGATGGCACTGGGCCATCTCCAACAGGGAATCGCGCTCACTGTGGGGCTGGCTGCGACCCAACACTTGGATGATGTCTGGGCTGTACCGGACCAGTTTGGCCGGAGCAGGCCCATCAAGTGGACTCTCCAAAGCCCCATGCCAAAGGTACCAGAGCCACCAGACTGGGACCCCAGGTTTGGAGTCAAGAGCATGGGCTTAGGGGCTTCTTGCCCTCTGTACCCCATGTGACTCTGAAGGACATGGGGCCTCCCCGCTGCCCTTCCAGGCTGCTCCACTAACCTGCAGCCCAGCAAGAGCCAGTAACTCCTGAGGTCTGAAGTTGGACCAAGCCCACGTCCCAGACCTGCAGAGGGTGCCTTCACTGAGGAAGTGGTGCCATGATGGTCCTTAGGCCACATCTGTCCCATATTCCATGAGTCTTACCCATTGGCGAAGCACCACATGCCCTATTGCCATCTCTCTGGATAGAGGCACAAAGGCTCCTAGACCCCCAACAACCCAATGGGATGCAGTGCACCAGATGCTGCATCTTGGCAGGGGCTGTCACAGCAGTGGACCTGAACTCTTCCAGTCCCAGCGGAGTCAAGCCCCTGTACACAGCCCTGTGTGGCTCCTCAAGGCCCATGCCAACCCCTCAGAGAGCCGATGCCATCTCCTGTTTTCCTGAGATAAACTGAGGCTCACCCGGGATGCCCTATCTCCAGCACCCTGGTGGGGCCTAGGGTACCTCCTTTCCCACTCCCCTGGAGGAGGGCTCCAGCAGGGCCTGACATCCCTATCTGCCCACTCCCCAGGGCCAGAGCTTGGAGGACCTGCAGTGGAAATGGGCGAGCAGCACCATTCTCCTTGCCTACAGTCAGATGGCAGCCAGGGCCAAGACCCACATCCTTCCGTGGGTGGGCAACATCTTGTCCGGGATGATCTTCTACTTCCGCTACAGCTCGTGGGTAGGGCCAGCCACCATCTCCAAACCCACACTCCTCAGGACAGTCAGGACTCCATGCCACCATGACCACCACCCCACCAAGAATGGCAGACACAGAGAAATCCAGACCCCAGGACAGGCAGCCCACCTCCTGATCTGTCCTAGAAGCCCAGGGAGCCAGGCCTGGCTTCCTGTTTGATTCCCAGCTCCTCCTCCATGGTCCTACAGACATGTTTGGGCTTTCATGGGGACTCATCCCCTCTGCATAAAGCAAACCCAGGATGTTCACTCTTGGGGTGGAGCTGGGCACTGAGAGGCCAGAGTGACATCTGTGTGACTCTGTACCTGTGCCTCCAACTTGGCTTTTTTATTAGTTTAGCGCAAAATTATACATGCAAGGGAAGCAGTGAGGGGCAGACAGCAGCTGCTTCCTAGTGGCTGCCTCACTGAGACCTTCACAAGCATCTCCTGGGTGTTTGAACATTGTCACCTCATTCTCATTTTTAAAAACACTTCATTGATAAGGAATGGAGCTGGCAGTCTCTACTGTGCTTTTCAGCCCCTACCCTGCAGCCTGTATTTCATTATTTCCACTTGGCTTCTTGTTCTCCCCCATGCATGCCTGGCTTCTCAGCCTGTCCTGTCCCCTTTGTCCCCTGTTTAGGACGAGACCCTCAAGCAGAGCTTCCTCTCAGCCATCCTGATGCTGGTGGGGGCTATCAGCCGAAGCGAGGGTGACCACAGCTGCAAGTTCTCCCAGACCTCCCAGCTTCTTGAGTGTCTGATGGTGGGTGCCCGGCCTCTCTCTCAGACCAGCACCTTCCTGGGCAAGCAGGGCCTCCTCCCTCAGACGCGCATCTGTCTGGGAGCCACCCACTGCAGAAGGTGTGGGGTAGGCTCCAGGGTAGGTCACAACCCTCTTGCACCTGGAAACACTCTATGTCCCTGGCCACTTGTGCTTAAGGGGCCCTAGCTGGCCAGTCCATCCTCATAGGCAATGCCACAGAGGCCCAGAAAGGCCAGCACTGTCTGTCCTGCACATGTTGACCTGGGCCCCAGACCAGAGGTATTCAGGCTTCAGGAAACCTCCAGGCAATGGAGTCACACAGGAGTGGCTGGGCAGTAGTGATGGGAGCACTAACAGGACAGCCTGTCCCCTCCCCATTGGAGCCCCAACCCTGAAATTCCGCACCTCACTCCACACGAAGCACAAGTACAAGACCATGCTACTTGTGCACGGAAGAGCTCAGAACAGTCTGGACACTTTCCCAGGTCATGCAACTGGCAGGCAGGATGGGGACTCGGGTCTGCCATGTCGAAGTGCAGGGGCCATACTCTGGGTCTTTAAGCAGGGCCCAGATCACAGAGGGGTCTGTGGGTTCCAGGGCTGCCAGGCACTGAGGTCTTGAGGTGGACATGAGACTCAGATGAGAGTGGGATGGACCAGGCCCAAGTGGCTCAGCCTTCATGGGGGATTTTGAGGTTCTTGTGGAGAAGGAGCCCCCAGGCGCACTGTGCACCACCAGCCGTCAGCAGGTCATCCACATTGCCTCCAAGCTCTGGTAGGGCCCCAGCACAGGCAGGATCTGGGGGTGAGGAGGAGGGTCCACAAAGGGAAACTGACTCCAAACCCCATCCAGCCCCAGGGAAAGGGAGCCAGGTTAGAGTCCAGGGGCTCAGGGATCCCAGGGCCAAGAAGCAGGCCCCAAATCAGCTCTCCACCTGCAGCTGGTGAGGAGAAACCAGGTGAGACTGCCCAGGAAGTGGAGGCCCAGTGAGTGCAGAGTTGCCTGAACTTGGCTGCAGCGGGGACAGGCAGGGTGTGGGCCGCCCCATGGGCCCAGGCAGCATAGCTGGTAAAGCAGGGCGGGCATCCATCCCAAGACTGGGTCAAGCCTACCTCCCCCCAAAGCTTCACCTCTCCTGGCCTCATCTCCTAATTCATCCATTGCACACACAGCTACTTAGCACCGACTGTGTACCAGGCCCCCTGAGCTCTGGGACCCAGCGGTGAGCCAGCAGGGAACAGCCCTGTTCCTCCAGAGCTGACTTTTAGAGTGGAGGGACATTTTGCAAATCACACATATCAGGGCTGCTGAGGACACTGGAGGAACATGCAGTGGGGAGGCAAACAGGGAGGGGATGCAAAACCCTCAGGGGCTGAGGGCCACATGAGACCCAAGCTCGGGTCAGTGGAACTGATGGGCTGTTGACTGAGTATTGATTGAATACTCCCATGAGCCCCATACCCTACTAGGCTCCAAGACACAGTTGGAGGCTGAGGTAGCCTGCCTGAAAGAGGACTTTTGAACAAAGTCCTGGAAGGGCAAGAGATAGCTTGGCTAAAAGCTATCTGGCTAGCTAAAAGCTAACTGGCTAAAAAGATAGCACATGCAAAGCCCCTGTGGCTGGCATCTCCTCAGTTGCCAGAGAACCAGCAAGGGGACTAGTGAGGCAGATGTGTGCACAGGTCTCTGTGCGAGACAGAAAGCTCTAAAGTCATCATATTGGAAGCAGATGCCAGGGGATCCCCTGAATCCCTGCTCCATGGGGCTCACTGACGGCCCCTTCCAGTCCCCACTCTCAGGCTCCTGCCTTCTGTCTTCCCAACAGCGAGCTGAGGCCACCTATAGACAAAGATAGGAAGTCACGACTCCTGTCCACCTGCTTCCGCAGCGTGTTTGCCTTGCCCCTGATGGACACCCTGGAGAGACACACCTGTCTCTTTCTGGAGCCACCCAATATACAAGTGGGCAAGGCATTGGGCTCCTCCTTCTACTAACACCTGGGAGGGGGCAGCCTGCAGGGAGGGTCCCTAGCCACCCCACAGGCAGGGTTGGGGTCCTGAGCAGTTTGCTAACTATGGTGGGCCTCCTTTTGCCCCCCTGAAAAATGGGGAGGGTAACAGAGCCATGATACTGAGCCAGGGAGCTGAAATGAGAGCCTGGATGCTCATGCCCAGTGCAGGGCGCTCTGCAAACAGGGATGCAGGTGGCTAACAAGTGTCTCTGTGGACACTTCCTGGCAGTGACAAGAGGATGAGGAAACCCCCTCAGAGGAATGAGGCTGGCTGGTGGGAGAGTCAGGGTTTGAATCCTACCCCCAGCCCCCAGGGCATTGCTCCACTCCCAAGGCTGGGTCCAGACTAGAACCCACAGTAAGCCCTCTGGATGGGGTGGTGACAGACCAAGGATCCCCTACACTCAGGGAGCACTACAGTCACAGCCTTCCAGAAAGGAGGTATCTGCCCTAACCTCAACCCATGGGCGTCCAGAGAGCCCATGACCCCAGAGATCCCATAATCCTGCAGGTAGCACTGGGGGTTTGCACTGGAGCTGAGGATGCTGGGTTAGGCTGCTGTTCAATTCTATCTGATCAGGCACATAGGGCTGGCTTCCGGCCATCCCCACAGAGGAACATGGCTCCCAGGAAGTTATTCTAGGGCCCCTGGGTACCCAGCCAGCTAGTATCCAGAGGCCCATTGGCTCCTGGTGCCCCTCATGGCGGGGAGAATTTCTGTGGCCCTTCCTTCTATGAATGTGCCCAGCAAGCAAAGCAGTTAAGTTATTGAGAATCTGCTGTGAGTCCCAGAAACCAGAGCTAGCCACATAATTTGCTGGGCCCAGTGCAAAGTAAAAGCTAGGACCGGTTTAAAACTTCAAGAGAGCAACAGCAGAGCATCACAGCCAGCACAGGTCACCCACCAAGGAGGCCAGCCTGCTGGGAATGAGTTCTCCTTGCCACCCAAAAACTGTGCCCCTGGGTGGTCCTGGACAGCCTCCCTGGCCCATCTCCAAGTCTGCAGAATGGGGACCGTGGTAGAGCCCCTCCTGAGCCAGTGTGAACTCCCATGGCAGGAGCCTGACTTGGGGTGTGCAGAGAGTAAGCACCACCCAAGTGCTGTGGCCCCCTATCCCCTCACCCCCAAGCTGAGCTGACACCACCCCCACCCCACCCGCGCAGACTCTGTACAGCCAGACGCTGGAGGCGCTGGACCACATGCTGCAGAGCTTCATCATGCAGAGCCCCACAGCCAGTGAACTGCAACTCCCGCTGTTGGTGAGGGCTGGTGGGATACGTGGCGCTGGAGACAAGGGATCCTCAGCCCTGGCCAAAGAGCCCAAAGGTGGCATCCCAGAAGATGTGGGGCCTGCCCGGGTGTGGGGCAACTGGAGGGGAGAGAGCGGCAGCCTGGCTGGAAGAGGTCTGGTGAGGACACATCCTCCCCTGCCCCCTCCAAAGAGAACTTCCCCCTGCAGCAGTGTCCCCAGGGCCTCATAGCCCCTGAGGTTGCCACCCTCCCCTGCGCTCCAGGAGTCCTGCCCTGACAAAAGGAAGGCCAGTCAGCAGGCAGTGGTGACCCAGAGTCCCATCCCAAAGGGAAGGCTGGCTCTGTCCGTAGAGTCAGAGGCCAAGGAGCCCTGGATGAGGACCTAGGCAGTGCCTGGGCAGGGCAGAGCCCCACAGGAAAACAGCACCACAGGGACAAAATAAACGCACTCCTTTGGCCATAGTGGAGGGAGCTCCCTGTGGCCAGGCAGGATGAGATGGTTAGAATGAGGGTCAGGTCAGCAGGCTTGCTGACGTACCAAGAAGCCAGGCGGAAGCCAGGTATGGTGGTGCATGCCTGTAATCCCAGCTACTCTGGAGGCTGAGGCAGGAGGGCTGCAAGTTGGAGGCCACTCTGGGTTACTTAGTGAGACTCTGCTCCAAAATACAATTTTTAAGAGTTAGAGGTGCCATTCAGTGGTAGTGTTTGCCTAGCACATGTGAGGCTACAGTACAGGCTACAGTACAAAAGAAGGGGAAGGGGGAAAGAGGGCGAAGGAGAAAGAGGAGATGGAAAACAAGAGGAGGAAGAGGAGGAGGGGAAGAAAGGGGGAGAGGGAGGGAGAGACGGGAGAGGAAGAGAGGAAGTAGATAGAGGTGGAGAGGAGTGGGGGGAAGAAGGAACAAGAGAGGAAGCAGGGACCCCCAGCTTGGATGCATAGATAGAAGTTAAGAGCCATTTGAGCAGCCCTGCCTAGGGAGCAAGCCATGCCACCCCCTAAATGTGCCAAGTGTCAGTGGCTGCCACCAGCAGGAATCCCAGCAGCTACTCGGCAATCACTGGGTCAGTCTCCAAATACCGTGGCTTCATCCTCTTCAAGTCACCACCTCTAACCATGGGACCTTTAATAAAGAGCCCTAAGTGCAGCCTCGAACTACACAGCACAAGTGCACAAGAGCCTGTGTGTGCACACATGTGTGTGGGAAAGCGTGGTTCTAGAGCAGGTGTACAGCAGACGAGGAACCAGGAGCACTGGAGGGCCCTGAGCAGGGAGAAATGACCACTCCTGTGGGGTGCTCCTGGGGACAGAGGGTATGGGGAGGCTACGCATGGTCTGGGAAGGGGACAGAGAAGGCTGTTCACAGGGACACTGTGGGGACCCAGGACCTCTGGGGAGGTGGGCGGGGCCTGACTTAGGGTGGGTGGGGCTGGTTATCTACCTGGCCCAGCCCTCTCTGGCTCCGCCCACTCACAGCACCTGTATCCCTGGCTGGCGTCTGAGAAGGTGCGCGAGCAGCAGCGCGCCACACACAGCTGCATGATCCTGCTTGGGTTCCTCAACCACCGATGCTTCCTAGATGTGAGTACCCTGCTCAGACACCTTTGGAGCTAGGTCACCTTCCCACCCGGGCTCCATGGCGGTGAGCAGCCCAGGTGATGTCTCCTTTTACACTTGAGGAAGCAGGTCTCACAGCTGGGCTCTGAACCCGGACGGCACTGGCCCTGACTGAGGAGAGGGCTGTTCCATGCACTTGAGGCCTGGACCGGGTTCTTCCTGTCCCCCAGCCTCAGCGTCTCACCTATAAAATGAATGATGATAACTTCTCTTTAGAGGGGCAGGTGGGAATCGCCTCCATCATGGCTTGGGGTTGATGAACTTGAGATGACTTTTCTGGAAGTGAGCGCTTCTGCATTAACAGCCCAAATCAGCACTAACTCTTGGGGAAGATGGGCATCAGTGCAGCCTCAGATACCTGAGGCTGCCTGGGCTAAGGGAGGTAAGGGGTGCAAGCGCTGGAGGGGGAAGGACTGCTCTGCCCCAGAAAGTCATCTGTCCCAGAGGAAGAAGGCCTTCTAGAATGGGTCAAAGTGCCTTCAATTTACTCACAATCCATGTCTACACCACTGGACCGGGACCAGGGTAAGGCAAAGGAGAGAGAATCTCCTTAGGTGCAAAATTTACAGGGGTACCAAAACACTCCATAGTCAAAATGAATCATATTTTATGTGATTGATGTGGCTCTGGCCAATAGGCTAGCTTCCTGTTTTTGTTAAATAAGGTTTTATTGGAACTAGGGCAGCAGGTACAAAGTTGGATCTTGTCTACAGATTTTGACCCTTTATCATGGAGGGGAATTATTTTTTGCATTCATTTTTATTAACATTGAATTGACATTATTTCACTTGATTACCAAGTTCTTTGGCAACCCTTTATGTTTTGTCCATTCCTTAGTCCCGGCCCTGTCACATAATTTGAGAGGATCCCTTCTGACATAGGCTGTGCTGGGATGTATGCGTGGCTGGGCAGGGACCCTGTGGTGGATCCTGCCATCAGTGGTCCTGCCATCTTAACACAGCCAAAGGAGGACTTCAGACCGATGGGCCAAGTGATGGGCATGCTGGGAATTCTGTGCCAGGACCCAGACAGGGCCACTCAGCACTTCAGCCTGGAAGGGGTGGGCCAGATCTACCAGTTCCTGCTGCACCAGAAAGGTGAGCTTTCACAGGCCACCATGGCACAGCCTCAGAAGGACCCTCACCCCAAATCTACCCCAAAGCAGCCCTGACCTCAGCTATAACACTGCAATGGCCTTACCCAACCACAACTCTCCGTGGACTCCCATCCCCAAACTGGGACACAAGCTTGGTTCTGATTATAAATGACCTCACCCTAACTCCTACCCTTTCCCAACATAGACCCTGGTCCACCCTTGCCCTGCCTCACCCCTGCTTTGCCTCTGGCCAGCAGAAGCAGCTCTGCAGGCAGAATCACACATCCCCAAGGTGCTCTCCCAGCCTGGTGCAGATGAAGCCTCCCCATGGAGCACTGGAGACCAGAGGACCACATCCTCATTGCCTCAGAAAGTGGTGTCCCTAGAGGACACTATATTCCAGCAGGACAGCTCCAGAGCCATCAAGGTCAAAGTTCTTCGAGTTGGGGCAGGTCCAGGTGGGGGCATGGCTGGAGTAAACCTGGAGATCCTCTCAGGGGTGGGAATAAATTCACTTTTTCATTCCTATATTTTTGAAGTAGAGCCAGTGGGGGGAGGGTTGGAGGAAGCCAGCACACATTAAACGCCTACCATCTGCCAGGGCATCATAAGCATTAACATATCCTTTTCTTAAATTTTACAAACCTGCTCTGCACTGCTCAAACTTTCCCTTGCAATGATTTGAATTTTATTATCCTCAAAAGACCTACAAGCTAAAACGCAGGTGGGAACTGGGTACTGGCATTGACTGGGCAGAGCCAGGTTCACAGGGCCTCAGAGTTGTCAGTTCATGAAGTCTGTGAGGCAGTGACTTTTGCTTGCCCATGTTGGGGTTTAACCCTAGCTAGTAAAGACCATGTAATTGGTATGCTTATCAGTCCCTGTTAGTCCTGAGCCCTCCAGACCTAGGGAGACAAATGGGGTCTCCCTAGGGCTTACTTCGAAGCCTAAGGGAGGAGCTGGCCTTCAGCACAAAGCCATGCAGTCTAACCAGCCTGAACTAGATGATGAAAGGGGATCACAACTAGTAATAAGTGTCCCAGCAGAACTTGGTCCAATCCCAGTGGACTCCAGAACCTGTGCTCTCACAGCCCTAGTGAGCTGTCCATGTGCTGAGACCCATCAGAACTTTAGCACAGAAAATATAAAACCCTGGGACCAACACATCTATTGTCCATGCCCAGAAGGAAGAAACCTGGCTTGGCTGCAATTTACAGCAGACAACCTGGGCTGGGGGAAAAGGGAGCATCCCACTGGCTGTCAGCTCAGTGAGGGCCAACAGTGAAGGTAGCTGAGCCACTAGGAGCATAGCGTCAGGACCTGGGAAGGGGCACTTCCTCCACTCTGTGTGGTCCCTGCACACAGAGTGTAGGCACCTGGCTCTGGCTCTCCCTAGACAGGGGGCAGTAATGGATAGGTACAAGGAGAGAGGCAAGGATGGGAGGTTCCGCCATTCGTGGGATGGCACATCTGAGAAGGTTTAGCTGGAGAAAGACACTCTCCCTGGATTCTAATTCTGATTTTATCCCCGACTCTTCATGTGTTCTTGGCTACCTTCATCACCGTCACTGTCGTCATCACCATCATTGTCAATATGCAGCACCAATCACCAGCAGTATCATCAACACCCCATCATCATCCACAGAGTCATCATCATCTCTACCACCACCATCTTCACCTTCACTGTCACCATCATCACCACTATCACCACCTCCACCTCCACCACCATCATCACCACTACTGCGGCCCCCACTCCCTCCTCACTGCAACCTCCACCTCTGCCCTCGATGCCTCCATCTCACATTTATCTATGCCCTTGATTAAAGCGTGATACCTCGAATGACTCTTCCATGCCTGCAGTTATATACTTTGGGATTCTGAGGATCTCATCACCTTGAACATTCCAACTTGAACCCTCTGGGAGGTGAATATGTTCTATGTCTGTGCATCCAAGGCAGCCGCTGGCCATATGGCTACTAAGTATTTGAGATGTAACCTATGTAACTGATGAGGAATTGAAGTTTTAATTTCACTAAATTAATTTAGATTTAAGTAGCTATGGGTAGCTGGGGGCTACCATGCTGAGCAGCAGGGCTCCAGGTCTTTCCAGAAGGTCCTGTCTGTACAGGAACCTAGTCACCCTACCCTCAGGAGCAGGGATCAGACCCACCACCTTGCATTTCTCCAAGAGCACCTTTGTTTCCCAAGTAGCCTATGGTCAGCCTGCAGAGGAGAAAGCCACCTCCCTAGGCCTTTAGAGTGGCCCCAGGAGAATGTGAACAGCAGCACAGTGGGGCTCCTGCCCCACACAGGGAGCCCTAACTTCCACCCTAGCCTGGCCTCACCTCTTCACCCTACCCTGCTCCATAGCTGAAGGCTGTCATGCACCGCTCTACGCCAGGGATTTGGTCCAGGTAACCTCAATGATCCTTCACAGCTCTGAGGTTCGATTTCTCTTTGATTAAAATACTGGTAATGAGGACCAGAGCCTGGCTGTGGGGAGCATTGACCATTCCTCTGGGCAGAGACTAGCAAATGACAGCGCCTGAGAAGGCAAAAATAGGCAGAGTATATGGAGCGCTGAGCAGCTACAAGGGCCCCAGAACAAGCACAAGGCTGGGAGAGAAGAGGAGCCCTCTGCCCACCATGACTGGGCATCATGCCCTCCCTGCCTGCCATGGGATGTGGTTGACCCTAATCTGCAAATACTGAACCCATGTGGGAGGTCCTGGAGAGTCAATGCTTGGAGACTTGGAGAGCCTGAGTAAAGGCAGTAGAGGAGAGGGGTCAAGGGCACATGAGTCCAAGATGACAAAGTGACAGTCTCTCTGCTCCCACAGGAGATCATGAAGTACCTCACAGCAGCAGAGCTGAATGACCTCATCTGGACGGTCATTGAAGGCCTGGGCTCCACCAGTGCCTTCCACGTGCAGGCAGCTGCTGACCTGCTCCTCATTGTCATTCAGGAGCATGGGGCCAAGCTGGAGACCACAAAGGTTTGGGATGTCCAGCCAGTGTGGGGAGGGGAGGGTAGAGGGCTGGCAGTAGTCAGGGGCATCCTCTGGACTGAGACTGAATCCCTGTACGTGGGCCAGATAGAGGAGACTCAGATCCCAACCTAAGCAGTAACCAATCAAATGAATGATTGGCCCAAGGATTCTTCTGGGGGCCTTGTGGGGATTGCAGGCAAGGGGAAAAATGCACAGATTGGGCACCAGCCTGTGCCCTAGTATAGAAGTGAGGCAGAGAGAGGCCCAGACCAGACCCTCAAGAAGCCAGTGGACAGAAGTGGATAGGATGGCTCAGTAGACACAAGGCAGAGGAGGTGGGTGGGAGGCACCCCAGCAAGTGGATGGCAGATAACAGGTCTGCAAACAGACAGCAGTGCTCGAGCCAGGTCTCAGTGGAAGCACAGCAAAGACCCAAAAGTAGAGAGGCAAGGAGCCCCAGGCACACAGGCAGCAGGTGCCAGAGCAGCAGGCTTGGGAAAAGAGGAGTCGGGCTCTGAACTGTCCTGAGACTCCTGGAGAGTATGAAGTTCTCAGATGCCTCCAAAGATGGTGGAATCCATCCAGAAATCCGGGGCAGGGAAAGGCTGTCTCCCCACTCAGGCTCCCCAGCACAAGGGCAGGTCCTCCTTCATCTCTGACCTCTCCATCCTCAAGCAGGTTGCCAACATGGGCCGGGCCATCCACCGCCGCCTCTGCTGTGTCCACATCCCTGAGGCCAAAAGGAATGTCCTTCATGCCTTCACCCTGCTGGCACGGGACCACACCTCTGAGTTGGTGGCTGCCTTCCTAGACGTCTCTATGCCCTTGGACAGGTGCCAGCCCCATCTTCTCTCACTGCCCCTGCACCCCCTACCTCGCAGGGCCAGGCCTGGGCCTTCCTACGTGGCTCCTGCACACCTCATGGGTGAGCGCTAGGGAGTCTCTGTTCACCATCAACCTGACACTCCCCACATGAAATGCCTCACCCAGACCAATGAACAAGGAGTCCATCAGAACCCTGAGTGCTCTGCCAAAACTCTGGCTAACCCCAGAATCTCCCCATCTATCAGCAGAGACACTTCCTCTCCTCCTCCTCGCCAATCATTCTCTGACTTGTCTTGCTCTTCCAAGGACCCAGCAGCCTCCCGGTCCTCTCAGTGGTGCTACTTTTTCTACCATGCCCCACAGACCTCTGGGCTGGAGGTGGGCCAGGGTCCTTGCTATAGCTGCTCCTCCCTAAAATCCAGCTCTGAATCTCCTATACTCAGTCTATACCACCTGCCACCCATCCACCACACATCCACCCTGCGCCACTCCCTCACTCCTTGAGGATGTAGCTCCTTGTCAGGGATTCATTCCCTCTTGCCTTGAATTACTCACCCTGCCTTGATACTGGGGATTTCACTCCTTCCCTTGCCTTGTCTTCTCCTGCTTAGATCTCCTCTGTCCCAGAGATCTTGTCTTCCATCCTCCTTCAGCTACTTACTCTCATGGTCCTACCCTCTGCTGGATCATCATCAAGTTCAAGCATCCCCCTCAAGAAACTCCTCCCACCTTTACAGGCTCTCTCTCTGGTACCCAGCAAGCCTCTGCCCCCAGGACCTGTATGCCACCATCTGCACATGTGCCTTCACCTGTCCTTACCTGACACCTCTCCCAGGGCAGGTCTTGTACCCTGCATTACAATGACTCCTACACACACCCAAGTCCTTGCCCTCAGAGGCTCACTATGCTTCCCAAGTCACTGAGAACTCAGGACCACCACCATGACCACCCCACCACCCCCCAGAAAGGGCCTCATAGGCTCCCAGTGCCCAAGAGTTCTTTCCAAGGAGATTTCTAATTTCAATGTGGAAACCTTTTGCTTTTCCAGTAATTTCTAGTTTTATTGCATTGTGATCAGTGTTATTCATAATATTTCTATTTTATGGAGTTTACTGAACTTTTAAACTGTCTAGTGAAATGTCCCATGAGTACTTGAAAAAAGGTGTATTTTCTATCACCAGAAAATGGAGTATGATATCTACACATAAGGCTTGCTTTACTGATTACTGTATATGGTTTAGGTTTTCTACTTCTTTATTTAATTTTTGTTCACTTAATCTGTCTTGTACTGAGAATGTTTAAAATCTTACTAAAGAAATATAATTTGTTTCTTTGTATTTGTCTATCTTCTCTACCTAACTGACTTAATAAATGTGGTTGCCCTGTGATTTGGTGCATGCATATTCATGTGTTATACCTTATTCATGGATTTTGGCTTTGAGCATTAAAAAGTGCTCTGCTTTATCATGTTTGATACTTTGGGGACTTGAGTTTTACTTTGTTATCTGAATCACTGCCCTGCTTTCTTATTCTTTTCCATCTGCTCAGGATGCATTTATTTATTCTTTTATGTAAACTTTTCAGAATCCCTATGTTTAGGTATGCATTTTATATACAGCATGTAGTTTGATCTCCAATTGTGACTGATATTGAAAATCTTTTTTTAATACAAAAGTTAAGCCCATTGACAGTTATTGATATGGTTTATATACTTAGTTTTTCATAACATTTTGTAACTGTATGTTGTTATATTTGCTGTTTTCCTCAATGTGATAATATATTAGTGAGGGGTTTTTTGTTTGTTTTTCAATATAGGGAATTGAACCCAAGTCCTCACACATGTTAATGCTCTACCGCTGAAATATATTCCCAACCCCTTTTTATTTTATTTTGAGACAGTCTTGCTTAGTTGCCCAGGCTATCCTCAAACTTACAATCCTTCTGCCTCTGCCAACTGAGTAGCTGGGATTACAGCCATGCACCACCACACCATGCTGTGTTCCTATTTTAATTTATGAAAGATTATAATTTTGTTCTAGTTATTTGTTGTGCTTCTAACATTATTTTATTTAAATTTCAGTTTATTTTTTGGTACAGGGGATTGAACCCACAGCCTTGTGCATACTAAACATGTCCCCTACCACTAAGGCCTCCTAACCTGCTTTAATATCTTTAGTCCCATATTTTATTATTTAAGCTTTTAATATCTGGTTTATTTATTTTTATTTGATACCCTTTAACTCCCACCCATTTCTGCACAACACCCAGTGAGATCATCTATATTCCTCTTTGTGCCTCCTTCTCCTCCAGTCTTCACAGTTGCTCTTTGTCAAAACGTGTAACATTTGCATTCATGCTGCCTGGCCCTCCCCACAGTCACCTCTAGTGTATGGACACTGCATAGTGACCTTTCTCATCACTGGGACACAATACCGACACCCACAACTTATAGGCAGAGAAGTTTAATTTGGCTCACAGTCTCAGCAGATTCACTCCATGATTGGCTGGCTTCAAGGCAGGAACATCATGACAGAAAGGTGTGATGGAACAAAAATGCTTAGTTCATGGTGGTTGGGAAACAGAGCAGGGGACAAACACCAGAGAGGAAAGGGCCAAGGATCATATACTGTACCAAGTTCACATCTCCATGACTCACTCAGACCCAGCAGTGTGGTTTTCCAATCCCCTGGATGGCTCCCAAAGTCAATCAAGTTGACAAGTCAAGCTTAACAATCACATCCACTGCCATCCTTATGCTAAGTTGCCTGGCCATCTCTCTGTTTGGCAAAATCCATTCTCAGCAGACTCTTCAAGGAAGGCTCTGGGCTCCAGAACACCTCAAGTGCTTCTCTGTTGGGGGTTACCCATTGAAGGACATAGCTATAACAGCCTTGGCTCACATCTGCCATTATGAAGTGCTTTTACAATGCTCCTCCATTGTTACCTAACATTTTTTATTGTTCGTTTGTTTGTTTGTTTTTCTTAAGTCAATGGAAATCTTTGCTTTTGTAAGTTAGTTGGTCTTTTTGGTTGTGAAATTCAGGATTTTTCTTTATCTTTTAAATCTAATCTTTTTATTAGGAATGTCTCAAAGTTCATCATTCTGGGCTAATGTTTCCAGGTACCTTGTACCCTTTGATTATGTTACTTAGGGATTTTTGTCATTATTTCTGGAAAGTTTTCTTGTTCATAGTTTTAAATATAGCTCTGTTCTTCCTTGGAGACTCCAGTAGTACAGATGCCACCCCTTCCTCATTCTGTCTTCCAGTCTTGACTTTCTCTCTAACATTTTTTACTTCTTTCCTAAATTCATTCCGATCCCCTTGCTTGTTTTCCTCCTTTTCCTAAATGCATCTTATTAAATTTCCATTAGAGCATTATCTCTCTTAAACACCTTCTAATTATTTTTCAGTTTTGAAATACTTTTTTCATTTCTTTCTTGAATTCAGTCAACTCTTTTCTCAGTTCTTATTGAGGAGTTTTTTTGTCCTTTTTTGAAATTATAATTCAGGGTTGTTTTCGTATCTTTAAATGCTTATTGAGTATATTTAACTACATTTGGAAGGAGTGGTGTCTTAGCAGTGTCTTCTGAATCGTGATTGTTCTTCAAATGCAGTTTCTGCATTTTATGGGTTTTGATTTTTTTTCTGATTTTTTTGCAATAACTCCATGGATGAGTCAATTTTGTTCCCATTTATGTTTGTACTGTTAGAGTGTTTTGTGGGATTTCGAGTTCAATGGCACCCTCTTCTGTCAGTACAACAAAGACCTTATAATTTAACAGACTTTATGTTGGTGGTCAGCAAAACGTTATGCATCCTCCAATTCTTTTGGCTCTTTTCTCTGCAGGGCCCTAATATCTCCCTTTTCCACTTTCCCTTTCAACAATCACCTGATTTCCAAAGGATACTTTCTTTCTTTTCTTTTTAATCTTTGTCTCCCAAAAGCTTTGCATTTTCAAGACTACCCTTCTCTGTGGCTGGTGCTGTGACCTCCCAGGACTGTTTTTAAAGTATTTTAAAACTCAGGGTGGATTAGTCTTCCTGAAGGTGGTCTAGTTCACCTTTGAACACTGTTGCTTACTCTGTTTTCTCTTTTCCCCACAGTTTGCTTCAGTCTGCCTTGGATTAGGGGAGGTAAGAGCCTGCACATTGAGACTAACATTTTTACTTTTAATAATTTTGAAATTTGGGCTTTCTCTGTATCTACACTGAGTTTCCATGTAGCTTCAATTTTCTCTTCTTGTTCTGTATTGTTTTTCAAGAAAGTTTTGGGAGGCTGGGAACTAAACAGCAGGCATTGTCTTCAACTACTCACAAATTTATAGTTCCATTTTGCTTACATTGGAATTTATATCTTATTTCTCAATTAGAAGCACATTTTTCACATGTTAACACTTATGAAATCAGAGCACATTTTACATAGATAGTGCCTTACAACTAGATTTATATCTGTTTCCACCAGTCACTTGAATCCTGTGACCTTGAGACCACTTTAAATTTAAGTCTTACTTGAGCTGGGTGCTGTGGCACGTGTCTCTCTAGCCCTACGTGTCTGGGAGACTGCAAATTCAATCTACCCTGGGCAATTTAATGACTTAGCAAGACTCTGTCTCAAAATTTAAAATTAAAAAATGCTGAGGACGTAGCTCAGTATCCTAGGTTCAATCCCTAATACTGAAAAAAAAAATTTAAGTCTCTGCTTGAGGTTTCTTGGGCTACTTCAATGGTGTGAATCTGGACATCAAAATGGGTTTAGTGATTCAGATTCTTGGCCCCTCCTTCCACCCCAGGCATGAGGTGTCCTCGCCTTTTCTTTCTGCAGGGCAGAGATGGGCTTGCTTGTTGTCTTAGATCCTTTCTTCATCTTTCTCTCTTAGAAGTACATGACATAATGATGGAGCATGTCCCAAACATATGAACAGAATCATACAATATGTCTCTCCTAATGTTCTTCTATGGCTTTTTTCCTCCAACACTATGTGTTTAAGATTCATCCTAGCAAGTTG